GATGTTTGTTACTAGGAAAAAGCAAATTAGATAGTTGATAAATAGCGGTCTTGGGGGGGGTAGAATAATTCTGGTGAGTTAGGTTGTCATCGTCCGTGTGTGTCGTGTGTCCCCCCCCCCCCCCCGCCTGTCTGCCTGCCCTGCCCGCCTCCTTCCCTCCCTCCCTCCCTCTCCCTGCGCTAGGAATCAAACCAGGGCGTCTTGCATGCATGCCAGTGAGAGCACTCTTACATGTTTGGTTGTGATCCTAGTCTTGGCTGAGCCATCACTTCAGCCCCACAAAGTACTCTTACTTTGAGCTATAATTTTTTTGAGAATATGCCAAATGTTATTATTTGGAAATCTTACCTCTGATTTTTTGTTTGTTTCTGTTTAAAATCTTTTTAGGTTTGTTTTATATGTATAATTATTTTCCCTTAATGTATATATGTGCACCATGTATACACCTGCAGGTGGTTGAGAGTTGTCATGTAGGTGCTGGGAATGGAACCCAGATCTCTGCGGTCTTAACTGCTAAGCCATCTTTTCTGTCCTGACCTCTTGTGTTTCTTAGTGATTTAAGAATAAAAAATTATAATTCTCCTAACAACATTTTTCATGGGGGGGAAGCAGAGAGAGAGAGTCAGTGAGAGTCAGTTAAGTCTGCCACTGGACTTGGAACTTGGCAGGCAGGCTAGGTTAGCTAACCAGACTTAGTCCAACTCCTCATGGCTGAGATTAAAAGCACATGTCACCCCATTGCCTTTTTGTGTAGCTACTAAGGATTGAATTTAAATCACGTGACTTACTTCAGTACTTTGCTGCCTGATTTGTCTCCCTAGCCCTCTCCAAATAAACGTTTTTAACTAATGGAATTTTTAGCCCCATGCGTCATCTTCTTTTCTCTCCATAATTTATTGATTGTAGTAAAATGGCATTATGTAGAATTTATCATCCTAATTGTGTTTAAGTGTACAATTGATTTTATTAGATATATTTATTTGACATATAACCATTATTACTACCCATCTCCATAGTTCTTTTCATAATATTAAGACTATACACACTTTAAGTGGTAAATCTTGGCTCCTCTTGGTAACTGCCCTTCTGTTTTTTTTTTTTTTTGTCCTTAAGATTTTTGACTATGTTAAATAGGTGAAATCATGTAATAGTTGTCTGTGACTGACTTGTTTAAGTATAATTTCTTCAAGACTGATTAATAGTCTATCATGGGTCAGAATGCCCCTTTAAGCTTTTTTAATATTACGTTTATTTTATTTTTGGATTTTTGAGAATTGGGTCTTTCTGTGTATCATTTTATTTTTGGATTTTTGAGAATAGGGTCTTTCTGTGTATTTCTGACTGTCCTGAAACTCACTGTGTAAACCAGGCTGGCTTTGAACTCAGACGTCTGTTTGCCTCTGCCTCATTAGTAATGGGATTAAAGGTATACACCACCACACCCAGCTTATTTTGGTAGGTGAGTGATGTGTATGTTCATGGGTGTGTGTGTGCCATAGCATATGCGTGGAAGTCAGAGACGAGTTTGTAGCAGTTGATTTTCAACCTTGTAGATTCCAGAGATCCAGCTCAGATTGTCCAGCAAGGCACCAGATACCTTTACCTGCTAAGTCACCTTGCTTGGCCCTCCCTCCCTTTTTAGGCTGGTTGATATGAGTTATATGTATGCACTACATTTTACTTAGCCATTTACCCATTTATCGGTAACATTTGAGCTCTGTTGTGAAAAATATTGCTGTTTTGGGAATGTACATATAATTTCAAGACCCTTATTTTCAGTTGGTTAGGTTGGGTTGGTTTGGTTTGGTTGATGCCCAAAAATGGAGTTACTGTGTTCTCTGATAATTCTGTTTTTATCTTTGAGGAATTGTCATTACTGTTTCTATAAAAATTGTATTTTGCTATGATGTCTTTTCTTTTTCTTCCCTTTTTTTTTTAATGGTTTAAGTCTTGGATTCACTTACTCTTGCTTTAGTGACAAATTTTTGTTCTGTGATGATAAGGTTAAATACTTTGTTTCTAGTTCTTATATCTTTCTGGTCCCTAGATCATAACACCATCCTTTGCTGAGTTTCTGGACCTGTCCTACTTCAGCTCCCCCTCAGTGTTTTTTTTTTTTTTTATTTAAGTCTTCGATTACATTTATGAGGCCTTGAAAGGTGAGCAAAAGGACCGAAGATAGAAGGTAGCCTGTTCTCAGTAGTTCCTGATATGGTTGCTTTAACCACACCCGTATTGCTTTCAGTCTTATTTCTCATTTGCTGAAAATTTCTTAGTTACATAATAAGACACTTGACATGTTTTCTTACTTACTACAGACTTATAAGTTATCTAATATTTGCCAGAAACAGACTGATATGTTTGTATTCTTTCACAGTGTCAAAATTTATTTAATAACAAATCCACAAGCTACTTAGGCTTTATTGGTTTTACTTTGCTGATTACCATTGATTTCACAAGTACTTTATTATATTCCAGTCTTAATTAGTAATATCTGTTAACAAACCTGGTCATGCATCCCATGATACACAATAAATACAGAAAACCCAAGAAAGGGTTAAAGTGGCCAGTAATGATGGTGAAGGTGTAGGCTGATACTAATGTCAATCACCACAAGTAATTAAATGACAGGTTAGTGTGAAGTCTAGGCAAGGATCCCATGACTAGGCTTAGTTTATAAAGTGGACAGGCATAAGAACAGGGCTAGCCCTTGGGAGGCAGAAGATAGCCTGGTCTACAGAGTGAGTTCCAGGATAGCCAGGACTATGCAGAGAAACCCTGTCTTCCTACCCCGAGGGAAATTTTTTTTTTAAGTTTTTAACTTTTTAAAATATTTTTATTTTTAACAATTCTTAGTTTGAATTGTTGGGTCTTGGTATATGCAAGTGAGAGAGAGAGCCAGAGACATACCCTGTAGCTGGAGGACTTGATATGCAGTTGTGAACTGTCCGGTGTGGGGGCTGGGAACTGAATCCATAGCCTCTTTAAGTATAATATATGCTTAGTTATATGTGAGTGAAGTTAGGTTTTTATGCTTGCTGCCCAACAAGTACCTTACCAGCTGAGCTGGTAAATTACCATATAATTAGTTCCATCTCTGGTTTATATATTTTATAGATCTTTCCTTTCCGATATTCCAAGTAAGTTACAAAGGAGCACTAGAAGAGCACTTACTCACAGGATTGCTTTGCCGACGACTAATGAGTAATCAGTGGTTCCTTACCCTCACATGGTGTTTGGTAAATGCCAGCTATTACTTTTATCTATGTTAGAGTTAAGAGAGCATATCAGTGGTAAATAAAAGGAAAATACTTATTTTGGAGACATGTTTTCCCTATGTAGTTCAGGCTAGCCTCTCAAAGTTCTGCCTCAGGCTCTGGAATGCTAGGGTTCAGGCATGGGGTGTGTTACATCCTGTTTTATATTTATTCTTTTTATGATTTTCAACTTGTATGTTTTGAGTACCTGTTTTCCCACATTGTTTGAGTCAGATTCTGGCAGCTCTAATAAGCTAGGCTCAACCACCTGTCCTAACAGACCAATTACACAGAGAAGTAATAGAAACAAAGAAGACACACACACACACACACACACACTCCATTCTCAACATACAACATAAGTTTGGGTTCATTTATTTTACTTATTTATGTGTGTATGCACTTGCCCATGATGCCAAAAGAGGAGGATGGATACACTGGAGCTGGAGTTAAAGGTGGTTGTAAGCTTTCTTTTGTGGGTGCTGGGATCTCTGGCCTTTTGCAAGAGCAAGCGGCAAGTGTTCTTAACTGCTGAACCCATCTCTCCTGCCTCTAGCTTTAGATTTCAGTAAAAGGCAAGAGGTTTGCATAACTAAGCAGTCATGATGAAAGTGTGGTCCTTACCATCTCTGACCAATCATTGTCTGTGCTCTAGTCTCTCCTGCCAGGTAGTTTATCAGCACGTCGGGACTGTGTGAAATCTTCTGGGGGGGGGGGGGGGGAGACGACAGACCCAGGCCTGGAGACATTCCAGTTTGTTAGGTTTGTTACAGTCTTAACAGGCTGATAGCCAAAAGGAGGCGGGTCACAAAGGTCTATCCTTAGAAAATTCCTGCCAGTACATTATCTAAGCTGTGGTTTAGAAGTACTTCAAATGATCCTGACCTAAAGAAATTCATTGTTGAGAAAGGGAAATAAAGTGATAAGCAAATAACAGGCTGTGGTGTCTTAAGAAAAATGTGTGAAAAGTGGAATTATACAGGATAAAGATTTACTCTGATGGGCAGAAATTAGATAAGGAATATTGAGGCTTCCCAGTTGTATAAAGGGTTGTGAGAGTAAATTTGTTAAAGGATGTGAAAGTAGTGTAAGAGGCATGGACATTACAAAGGATGGCACAAGAGTCAAGGATAAATGTATGTGAGGAAGAAGTTGAGGCATTGCAAGACAGATCTGTGTGTTGTGTAGAACATCTTTCCATATCTCTTAAATGGGCATTAGGAAACCTTGACTGGATGTTACCAAACCTCTGCCTTCAAGGAGAAGGGTGGTAAGAGTTTCATAGTTTAATATTGTTGAAAATAGTTGATTTGACTATCTGAGGCTTTTTAATTTTAAAATTTATTTTGTATGTGCGTGTGCAGAGGGCAGAGGACAGTTCTCTGGAGTCAGTTCTTTCCTCCCTCCCTGTGGAGGCAGAATTTCATCTGTCTCCCAGGTGATTGTTTACTCCAGATTAGCTGATGTGAGAACTTCTTGGTGAATTGGGGATTCTTGTCTCTGCCTCCTCTGGAGATGGAACTCTGCTCTCAGGCCAGGCTTGCAAGGCTAACAGTACCTTTACCTGCTAATTTGAGCTGGCTGGGCCAGTTCTTCAATGGCTCCTTTTCTGTTATGACACCTGAATTGTGTCTCAAACTAAATGAATATTTTAGAGTAAATGTTGCTGTATATAGTTGGGGGTGGGAGGTAAGTGCTTGCTTGTCTTCCAAAATAAAATTAACACAAATTTGCATTTCACAGGAAACCTTGAGCATGGAGTCTAAACCTTCCAGGATTCCAAGAAGAATTTCTGTTCAACCCTCTGGCTCTTTAAGTTCTAGGATGGTGTCTGGAAACAGAGGAGCTAGTTTAAATGATCCCTATCACTCAAGAGACTCTTCCTTTAGACTGGATTCTGAATATCAGGTAGTATTTTAACTTGAATAAATATGTACAGTCAAATTCAAAAGGCTTTGGGCACATTTATTAATTTTTTTTTTAAAAAAAACTGTACCCGAGGCATCTTAACAACCTTAAATTATTAAAATAAAGATAAAATTAATAGCTAATTATTTGTGGGGCTTCTGAATTGTGGCTAAGAGTATCGTCTTTATAAAATGCTTTCTAAAATTAGGAAACTTTCATTAATTAAAATAAATTTTAGCTGAAGTGGTAGGTGTTGGTGGATGGCTTTATCTGTGGATAAATATTTCTTCCAGTGAAAATACTTATTAATTTAACTATATATGTACAAAGCAGTGGGTAAAATAACAATACAGCTGGTAAATACTTGTGCTTTTGTTGTTGGTTGATTGATCAGTGTGTCTCAGGGTTTCTCTCAGTAGTAGTGTGTACCTAGTATCCCAGAACCCATGGTTTGGTCAGTCCCCAGCACAGCCCTCTCACTACCTCCTAATCGCCTGCCTTTTACAATCCACATTACCAACAACCATTAGCTTGATTTTAGTTTGATTTTTTTTGAATATTAGTATTTTCTTTGAAACTGAGTAATTTAAAAGGTAGTTTTTCTTAATTATTTTACAGTCTGCATCAGCATCTGCATCACCATTTCAGTCTACATGGTATAGTGAATCTGAGATAACTCAGGGAGCACGATCGAGAGTACAGAATCCACAACGGGATCATGATTCAAAAAGACCTAAACTTTCTTGTGCAAACTGTACATCTGCCTCAGCTGGGAGAAATACTGGAGGTGGCTTAAATACAGTGTCAGGTAAGAAGTTATTCAGTTTCTGTTAAAAGCCACTTTATGAAATGTTTTGGATCAAAGTCTTTTCCCTCTCTGAGATTCTTAATATCTTAATATTTTTAATAAAATAGTTTATATGTAATAGTGGATCTGGAAATGCAATTAGTTTCCAAAATTTTACCTTAAATTGGTGGTGAATCTGAGTTGACTAATCATTTTGCCTTTTTGCTTTACAAAACAGAGAATGTTAGTAGGTTATTAATTAGGTAGAATAACTGTTTTGTCTTTGGTTTGCTTTTTGGACACAGAGTCTCATTGCATAGCCTTGCCTAGCACAGAATATACAGAGTATATGGATTAAAGGCATGTGCCACCATGCTCGACTCTAACATTACTATGTATTAGTATGAAGTTCAAGTTGGTGAAAGTCATGAGTGGTCTGTTGGTTATTATGAGAGGTTTTTAAAGTGATACTGCATAAGCCACGTCTGATAAACATTAAATATTTCCTCATCATGTGTCGTTCAACTGATAAACATAGTATATGATACTTTTCAGAAAATATCAAAACTCTTAAATAAAAAAGTTGGAAATTAAGAGCTCTACATAACTATACAAGAATGACATTGAACATATTACCTAACCACCGTGGGATTTGCATGATTTATCCATATAGCTCTGAGCTTCCATATATATATATATATATATATATATATATATATATATATATGTATGTATGTATATGTATATACTGGTTTTTTTTTTAATTTTTGGTTTATAAAAACAGGGTTTCTCTGTGTAGCTTTGGAGCCTGTCTTGGAACTTGCTCTGTAGCCCAGGCTGGCCTCGAACTCACAGAGATCCATCTGCCTCTGCCTCGAGTGCTGGAATTAAAGGTGTGCGCCACCTATATTTTATACTTAGGTTTATGTATTCGTGTTGTTCTAACAGTCTTTGCTAGGAAAGCAGATTTCCTCCTTCTGAAACTCCTCCAGTAAAATGGTAGGCAACCCCTAAAGCTGTAAAAGGAGACAAAACTTGTGATAGCACAGTTAAAGCACAGATAGCACAGAGATAAAATGCTTGTATATTATTACCAACTAAATAAGTGTAAGTGACTCCTTTCAGTTTGAATAGCTAGAACCTCCAAAGCAAAGGCATTGCACTTCGGAAGGGCACTAAGAGTAGTGAACTGGGTAAGAGCAGACTGACCTTTGTAGACACACATTACTTTGCAGAACCAATTTTGTTCTCTTATCCTATGTGAAGGTATAACATTAAACTCACTGGGTAATTTCCTACAATGTAGAAGAATCATTAAAGCTAAGAAAGGAAGAAACAAAATAGGTTTGAAAATTAATTTTAGTTTACTATGTAATGAAATCATATCTAATAAAATTTGGAGTATCATCGCAAAATATACACTAATTCTTACTGTAAAGACTGAAATATGACAGTAAAAATATTTCTGAGGTTGATAGGATATATGTTTAGAGTATCTAAATGTTTAAGTCCAGTTCTCCACATAGGGAAAAGTTTTTTTTCCTGATAAAATTGTATTTGATTCTATAATTGAATTACCATATCAAAATAGCTTGGTTTTAATTTTTATTTATTTTGAAACTGAGTCTCCTATTGTAGTCCTGGCCTAGAATTCACTCTATGTATCAGGCTGGCCTTGAATTCACAGAAGCCTGGCTGCCTGTTTCTGCTTCTGCCTCCTAGTGTTAAGATTAAGCCACCATGCCTGACTTTGGTTCTGGTTTGGGTAGTTTTCCATCATCACTTTGACTTTTAATGAAGTGTTCTGTATCATTGGCAGATTTTCAGTTTTGACTCATTATTTTAACATAATGTTACATCATACATGGGCAGATGTAATAGAGAATGAGACATTTAAGTTATGTATGAAAATAGATTTGTAGTGTACAGGATCTAATGTTTAACATACATAGATTTACCTTATCTAAGGTCCTGGGTTTAGTCCCCAGTATCAAAAAAGAATGTTTGAACAGGAAGGTAATTAAGAGATGATTAGTTCATTAGTGGTAATTTTTTTTTTTTTTTGCTAAACTTGGCTATATAACTGGGTATAGCTATAATGATAGTTATCTTTACTGTATTAAAGATATATGAAACTTGAAAGCCTTCTCTGAAATAAAATTTCTTGCATTACTTTAAGATTCTTCTTGGAGGCATAGTCAAGTTCCCAGATCTTCATCAATGGTACTTGGTTCATTTGGAACAGACCTGATTAGAGAAAGGAGAGATTTGGAGAGGAGAACAGATTCCTCCATTAGCAATCTTATGGATTATAATCACCGAAGTGGTGATTTCACAACTTCATCATGTATGTATAAACTACTTTGTTAAGTATAGCTTATATGTTAGTACACATGATCTCTGTGACATTGATAACAATACGGCCATATCAGAACTGTCTAATTTTTTAGCATCTTGATTTACTTGAAAAATAATATAAGCAATGTAGCTGGGCAGTGGTGGCATATGCTTTTAATCCCATCACTCGGGAGGCAGGTCTCTGAGTTTGAGGCTAGCATGGTCTCTAACATGAGTTTCAAGAAGGACAGGCTACAAAGCTGATGCCTCAAAAAAACAATAAAAATAAAAAATAGTTTAAAAACAGATGTTCTTGAGTAGTCAGATTCTGTCTGCTTTCAAAATTTTTATACATGAAAAAAATTATATATGTTAATAAAGTAAAACTAGATAATTCTTCCATATTACAGTATTGCTTGTCTACAACAGTTTTAATGTGTACTTGTAACTCAATTATGAAGTAACTGTTTATTGCACCATTTTTATCAATTATTTTATGTGTATAGCTGTATTTGCCCACGTGTATGTCTATGCTCTACTTGTTTGCCTGGTGCACAGGGAGGCCAGAAGAACATGACAGATTCTCTAGAATTAAGTTAAAAATGGCTGAGAGCCACCATGTGGGTTTGGGGAATGGAACCCAAGTCCTCTGATAAAGCTAGTGCTCTTAACTGCTGGGCTATCTTTCTGGCTCCCAAATTAACCATTTTAAGGATTATTTGGAACTGTATGGTTGTTTTGATTTTATTAAAATTTCAAGCACATATAGTTTTGTCTCTGTATGTAGACTTAAGCTTTTCAGAAGCCTAAGTAACAGAAGGAAAAGAACACTAATCAGAGTTAACAAAAGGATCATGCAGAAGTGGGTTTATGCTTGTTTTAGTCAAATTACAGAACAGGAATAGATTCAACCTGTTGTAGTTTATCCTTTCTGTGGTCTCCATATATAAGCCCAATAATAAATGTACCTGTTATACAAGGGTTATAGGGAGTATTCTTCACAAAAGAGTAATAATGTTTCTCATCTCCACTCAGATTGAAACCTCCCCTTGAGGAGTTCTGTCTTTATCTTGTGTTGATCTTTAGACAAGGTCAAACTTAGCCAGCCAGGCCTGGAATTCTGTGATCCTCCTCCCTGCCCCAGATAGCTGTTAGCAGTGACCTGTATTGACTCACAGTTCCAAACCTGCATTAAAGGGCTGAGGTGTGCCTGATGAGTAACCAAAATTAAAGAAATCCTTACCTGTTAATAGCAAGAATATTATAAAAATATAAGGCAATAGCATTCACATAAAATAACTTTTTGCATAGAATAAGAATCTCCAAAACTATTTCTCTGGGATGGTTTTGCTTTTTTATCATTGCACTGTTTTAATTGGACTAATGTTCTGTGTCAATTCTTGAGCGTCTTCTATTGTATTGGTCTCTCATTAATGTATTCAACTTGCTTCAGCAACTTATTTTTATAAGCTTTCATACTTTGATGTGAATTTGTAGTATTGAGTTTACTTGGGAATACTTCAGAAATAAATTTTTCCTATAATAGTTAAGCTGTTATAGATAGCAGTATTCATTTCAAACCTAGTCTTTCAGTCTGGCAGTAGTCAATAAATGTACATTTAATAATAATTAAATTATTTCATATTTGGTTGCCTTCCCTTCTTTCAAAAATAGATGTTCAAGAAAGAGTTCCTTCTTCATATTCACAGGGAGCAAGACCAAAAGAGAATTCAGTGAGCAATTTACAGTTGAATTCATCATCTACCAATCACCAATTGCCTTCTGAACATCAAACAATATCAAGTTCTAGGGACTCTAGCAGAAATTCTTTCAGATCACATTTTTCTCCAAGACAATCAGAATCTTTTCGAAATGCTTCACATCCCACATTTTCATATCTTTCAAGTAGAGATGAAACCCCAGTTATAAGCAATTCAGAAAGGGTTAGTTCATCTCGGAGACCATTTCAAGAATCTTCTGACAATGAAGGTAGGCGTACTACTAGAAGATTGCTGTCACGGATAGCTTCTAGCATGTCATCAACTTTTTTTTCACGAAGATCTGGTCAAGATTCCTTGAATACAAGATCATTGAGTTCTGATAATTATATTTCTCCAAGAACCTTGACTTCACAGTCTCGGAGTAATGGAGCTTCGTCTTCTGAAGTCAGTGATAGCAGGACATCTGAAGCTTCTCAGGGATTTAGATTCCTTAGGCGAAGGTGGGGTTTGTCATCTCTTAGCCAAAATCATAGCTCTGAACCAGATGCGGAAAATTTTAATCAAGAATCAGAAGGTAGAAGTACAGGACCGTGGTTGTCTTCCTCCCTTAGAAATAGATGCACGCCTTTGTTCTCTAGGAGGAGGCGAGAGGGAAGAGAAGAATCTTCAAGGATATCTGTGTCAGATGTCCCACCTAGATCTCATCTTTTTAGAAGAGAATCAAATGAAGTGGTTCACCTTGAAGCACCGAGTGATCCCCTTGGGGCTGCTGCCAACAGACCACAAGCATCTGGAGCAGCAAGCAGTGTTTCTGCAGGTGGCCCCACACCAGATTTGCCTCAGGGTGGAAGAAGTACAGGACTAGCAGGGATTCTTCCTGGTTCCCTATTCCGGTTTGCAGTCCCACCAACACTGGGAAGCAGTCTGACCGACAATGTCATGATTACTGTAGATATTATTCCTTCAGGCTGGAACGCAGCTGATGGGAAAAGTGATAAAGCTAAAAGTGCACCTTCAAGAGACCCAGAGAAACTGCAAAAAATAAAAGAAAGGTAAATTTGAATATTCATTGTACATTGTAAAGCTAGATCAGTTTAAAGTTTTAAAATGGCTCTCATCTGCTTCTTTAAACATGGTGTTACTGAGACTTACAAGCAAATGGTGATGATAATAATAAGGTAGGTTCTAGGGTATGAATTTTATCAAGAAACAACTTAAGGTATCTTAATTTATCTTGATACACACAGACATTAATTAATTCCTTAATTCTATAGTTAGACTGCTGCTAAATGGAATTTAATTGGGGAGAGGAACCAAATGATAAAGCATCACCAATCTCAATTAGCCTAAAATAAATTAACTGGTTTACCACTGATTTTTGTATGTCTCAGTTTTCCTTTTTTTATATATTTTGCCGTGGGCTATTTTCCTGATTTTAAATTTTCCTCTCCCCTAGTAATATTAGCTTTAATACTTACTCATTGTAGCAATTCCCTCTGATTGTAAGCTATCTAAAGAATAACTTAGAGTTCTAACCTTCAAAGATAGTTTTATTTATTGATCTTGACTGGTCTATAATTCTTTACTATTCTATCTAGTTAGGTTTAATTTTGGTTTTTGATGTTTTGTTTTGTTTGAGACAGAATCTCATTATGTAGCCCTGGTTGACCTGGAACTGATAGAGACTTACTTGCTTCTGTTTCCCATGTGCTTGTATTAAAGAAATGTACCATACCAGATCCTACTTCTGTAGTTTTAAATGAGCATTCATTTCTACAGAGTTTGTAGTATGTGTATTTGTGTGTTTATTGTATTTTGCCTTATATATGAGAATTTAAAACTTGACCACTTAATAAACAGAAAAATTGGATCTACTTATTAAAAAGTAATTGAAATTATGAAGGGAAGAACATTTAATACAGGGCAAAATGTTCAGCTTTTCTGAATAGTTTGTGCTTGATATCATGTTTTTGATTAAACTAGGACAAAAAGTCACCTTATTGTCGGTGTGTCTCTTTCAGTAAATGTCTTGCTAAATTGACTCATACTGCCCAGGTTATGTTTCAGTAGCAGTTCGTCATTCAATACTATCAGTGTACTGAGTCTTCTTTCATGTGCTATCAGTGAACTAACAAAATACAAAGCGAAGGAAACTTTGCTTGTAATAAAGTGAATTCATATGAATAGTACATGCTAGCCTGTTAAATAGAAGACAGAGAGGATAATAGAAAATGTTGCATGTTTTAAAACATATGTATACTAAAATGATTTAATAAGATTGTTGAGAGTATAGTTCTAGAGAATTTTTAAGTCTTTTATTTTTAAATTTTTGATTCAATGAATACAAATAGTTTGTCAGTTTTGATAACGTGTCAGTGAGAAACTACACTGTTCTTAATTGAGGTATTTTCAGAATTCTTTTGCAATTGATAAAATGGACAGAGTGATATGTATGTTACCCTTATACTATTGTATTTAAAATAATCTAGAAGACTTCAGTAATTAAAATCTTAGTGATTGTGAAAAAGGTGAACTTAAAGGGTGTTATCAAAGAGAAAAGGTAAACTGTTTGAAGCTGAGTTACAGTATGACTGGTCTTATATAACAGTTTTTATTCATTGTTACTATTGTTGCTTTATTCTTACTGTTTACTTTTTTGTACTCAGTATGAGTACAAATGGAAGACTGGATTCTCTGTAATGAGGATGTCCTGCTAGGGGGAATTAAGACATCTCTGAAGTCTGGGCTTATGTTTCAGCCTCCTTTTAGAGGACTCTGAAGAAGAAGAAGGAGACTTATGTAGAATTTGTCAAATGGCAGCTGCATCGTCATCTAATTTACTGATAGAGCCATGCAAATGCACAGGGAGTCTGCAGTATGTCCATCAAGAGTGTATGAAAAAGTGGTTACAGGCCAAAATTAATTCTGGTAAGATTCATCCTTTTAGATACTTTGTTTTCAAATCATTTCCCAAGAGATAACACATACTGTAGGCATTTTGGCTAACAATCTTTTTCTAATGTATTATTAAATGTATTCATACTTGTTTAATCCATATAATTTAATTAACCAGTGGTTATGGCATATACAATCCTTTGAGTCAAGCATACTCACCATATAGCAGCTATGTGTATTGAGATAGAGTTATTGCCTGTGTCATTTAGTTGGTTGTCAGGGAGTTCCTTTGTGTGTACTGGTAGGAGAGTCCGGTACAGTTCCAGAAGTGGGGTTTAGAGTGTGGTACACAAGACATAAAAAGCACCTGTTCCCATCTTACTGTCATTAAGAGAGCACCTTTCTTAGGAAACACCATTTAATTTTAGACCTTGATATACAGAACTGCCTTTCAAAAGAAAAGGAACATTTTAGCAGAGTAGAGCTCATAAGAAAGACTTAGGTGTATTTGAGGAACTGAATGGTGTATGGTATGACTAGTATCAATTAATAGTTGGGTAAAGGTTTGGTAGATGCAGTTGGGATAAGAAAGAGTAGTAGTTCATGCAAGACTTGTAAAGGTAGAGACTAGAGCTTAAGTTTTTATCTAAGTATGATGGGAAGCCACTGAAGGGGGCAGAATTGAAATGTTCTTATTTTTATTGGCTGTTTTGGAGAAGAGATTTTAGGGTAAGACCAGACCTCCGGTCAGAATGGTGATAAGAAAGTGAGAGAAGTTTATACTTTGTGTAAGCTGAAATAATTGTGTAAAAGTGGGTCTGATTCACTCAGCAACCTGTGGTTTGCTCATCAAAGTGCATGCTGGCCTCCAAGCTCCTTCAGTGTCACAAATACGGGTTATCATCTCAAAGCCGCCCCTCAGTATGCTGGTTCTCTCCTCTCTTCACAATGGCAAGGCTTTCCCCCTGCTATTGTACTTTTACTATGCTTTCTCTATGGTCTTTCCCCTGCTCTTCTCCCCTCTTGCAGATAGCCCCGGCCATGTTCAGTCTGCTGACCGTGTCCAGTCTACTTCTTTCTCTCTTTGCTTTGGACTCCTCCAGATGCCTCTGTTTATTTTCTCTCTCTTACTCAAGTAAAAAAAGTAAAGCCCTCCCCACTAATAATGGAGTGGTGATGTTGGCAGATTCTTTACTGCATACACTTCCTTTAGACTATCTTTTAAACGAGTTTGATGATGTTCTTACTCTTCCCAGTCTGCACAGTCTCTAGTTGTAGATTGGTACAAGTTCACTCAAAAAATGTAAGAGGGGTTGGATCTGTTCACTGATACTCATAAAACTTATTTGAGGACAGTTTTCAATTGGTAGCCATATCTAATAATCCCCAAATATTGGAAGGGCCCACATATGTCATTAGACATGACCACCTGCTAAAGTGAAGTGGGTGTGACAGAACAAAAGTGTTTTGTTTTCTGTTTTCCAAAAAAAAAAAAAATATACCAAAAATACTGTGAGGAAAATTAACCACTTTGATTGTTTTTCAATGTGTAACTTTGAGTAGTTACTTTGAAAACTTTTCCATCACCCAACATAGAAAGTTTGTAGTCAGTAAGCTGTAACTCTGCACTTCATCCTCTTCCCAGACCATGATAGTGTTGAGCCTGTTGCTGTGTATACTGCTGGCACCATTAACATCTTCTTTATTAGTGTATCTTGGGTTGAGCCATGTTATAAAATATATGAGGACTTAATTCTACTAATTGGCTGAAATGAGCTGCTTTTATCTGGACAAAGGTGGATCTCTTTTTTTCCTCTTTGACTCAGCAGGGTAGGCACATTGCTTAGATCACATACAAGGTCTACATATGTATGCTGTGGTACCAAAAATACTGGCCCTTAACTACTATTTAAGATGCTATGCCATTAAACATTGTTTTTGTAACTTGCCAACGTACTTCAGGAAGAAGGAGTAAGTACAGGTGACATTCCTTTGCCTCATTGTCAGCATCCCATAATTACAGGATGTGTGAGTGTGTAGGATTAAAAAAGGCATCCAAATGATGGGTGAAGGCATAAATGTTACAATACAGACCATGACGTGCACATTCATTAATTTTGTATGCATTATGTGTTTATTGCAATACCATGCAATATCTTTCATGCTTGTCTACCTCCAGTATTTAAACTTGATCTTAGGACAGAAAAACTGTACTAGTTACTGGTTAACTTTTTTTTTTTCTTTTTTGGGGGGGGTCAGGTTCTTCCTTAGAAGCTGTAACCACCTGTGAACTCTGTAAAGAGAAGTTGCAACTTAACCTGGAGGATTTTGATATTCATGAACTACATAGAGCTCATGCAAATGAACAAGTTAGTATATTTTGCCTAGTTTGGTAAGTGTCTGATCTGTGCTTAAAGGACAGCTCTTGAAGAAAAGATTAAGTCATGGTCAGAAAACCTACATTAGTAATATTCTTACCATAATTAATATATGAGTTTATAATTTCATAAAAATTTCCCTTTAAATAAAAGACTAATTTAAGATAAACTGTCAGATTTTGTAAGTAAGCCTAAAAATTAATAAAAGTTTAGGAAATTGGGCACAAAGTAGGCAGCCACCACCTTACACTCTATTATATTTTATAGCTTGACCAGCTTGGGATAATATATGTTGATGAAATCATATAATAAAAGGTTTCTTTTTTGAAGACCTGAGTTCTCCTCCCACTAATGTTGGATGGCTCATAACTCTGGCATCTGAGAATGCTTAAACTCACATGCATATACCTACATACAAATTTATATACATGCACATTGAAAGTCTGTGATGAACTCTATGGACTTACAGCATATTGTTGTCTTAGACTAAAGAGTTATTTTCTCTTGCTACCTTTCGAAGTACATTCTTTCTCTCAAAATTAAGTCACATATTTTCATTAAAAAGGGTTTTGATTTTTATTTAATCATTTTAATGACCTGCATTCTTCATAATAAAGAAGTATTAGAAGATACTAGGTATAGTCATTGTAAAGACAATGATAGTCTTGGCTTTATCTTATATGAATCATGGATTCTAGTGGCTAGAGTTATCCTAAATTTTAAGTGATTGGTTCAATATAATTTTATTTTTTTTAATAATTTTATCTTTTGCTAGGTGATAACCATTTTTGTTACTGGGTTGTTTTGTTTTGAAACAGGGACTTACAGCGTATCTCAGGCTGACTTGGAACTTGCTATATCAATCAGGCTAGCCTTAAAACTCAGATCTTCCTGTCTCTACCCTCCCGTCCCAAACCCTCAGTGCTGGGATTAAAAGTTTGCCACCATGCCTGATACAGCCATTATAACTATGTAAAGTAAAATAATATAAACCACTTTCTTGGATACATGACTTCCGATAATAGTTCAAATAATGTCAAAATTATTAAATATTTAAAGATTTCATTTCAAATAATATCTTTTTTTGTTTTGTTTTTTTGAGACAGGGTTTCTCTGTGTAACAGTCTGTCCTAGAACTAGCTCTTGTAGACCAGGCTAGCTTTGAACTCACAGAGATCCGCCTGCCTCTGCCTCCCGAGTGCTGGGATTAAAGTCATGTGCCACCACCACCCAGCTCACTTCAAATTCTTAATGATAGGTAGAATTTGATGAATAGTTTCTAAAATTAATATTAGCATGCAATTCTTAATTTTAAATTTGTTTATCATCCAAAGCAGGTACATTGACCTTTTCACTGTAAAATTTAAAGGGACAGATTGGCTTTTTAATCTCTATATCCTAATTTGTGTTCGAAGCTGTACTTATATTGGTACAATGCTAGCCTGGTCTTTCTGGGACCCTGAGTTCATTCCCCAAGATCATGAAAACAAAAAGATAAAGGAGGAGGGTGCTCATAACAATTTTGAAACTATTTAGAATTTCTGAGTCTTCCATTTCCAACATGACTAAAAAAAACCATGCTAATATCAGTGTGTTACCTTTAACAGGATTTAAAAAAAAAACCAAACCACTAGTGTTATCATTTTCAGTATAAATTATAGTGCATGTTATAGATTTAGGTTATTTTAAAGAAGACTGAGATAATTTTTATTTGTAAAAGGAAATCTGTTAGGAGCTTTACAGAAAACCAAAATATGTGTTATCTCACCAAATGATTTAAAAGGTAAACTTTGTTATAAATAATTAGAGAGATAGAATGAGGAAAGATCACACCTGTGTAAGGCAGTAGCTGACTGTATACCTTTCTAGGAGCTATGTTGGACTACATTTCTTTAGTTTGCCGATAAACAGTGACCATCAGTTACAATCCTAGTATTAATTCTTTGTTTCTTTTCTGTGCTTTCCCTTTAAGGCTGAGTATGAGTTTATCAGCTCTGGTCTCTACCTCGTTGTCTTACTGCACTTGTGTGAGCAAAGCTTTTCTGATATGATGGGAAATACAATTGAACCAAGCACTCGTGTTCGAGTAAGTACTATTAGTATTGGGGAAGGAGGGAGGGAGACAATGCTACAAGAATTAGTCTTGGAAAGCCAATTGACTCATGTGTTCAAATCCTAATTCCTTTTGTGGCGGGGAGTAAATGTTTCTTAGCAATAAAAATAGTCTATTTAAAGGGAAGTGCTATCTTCTACAACAGATATCCTAAATTTGTCATAGTTTGTTTAGAGAAAGAAGTGATTTTTCAGCTCTTGTAAGTGAATTATTTCAGGGAGAATTGGACACCCAAAAAATTTGTTATTTTGAATTTGTGGAAAAAAGACCTTATTAGCATTACATCTTAGAAACATAAAATTGAGTTCCAGAGGCCAAAAGAATATGGAAGATTTACTACCTGATGTTATCCTGTAAAGGGCTACCCTTGAACTAATAGATTACCAACTGAGGAAGGAACTAGTTGCAATAAATAATTTTTAATATTAGCTGTACATTTAAGCTAGCTTTTTGTGAGATATATATAGTCAATGCTCTTTATCTCAGTGAGTCAAAAGACACTTATATCCTGTTGCTTTGGCCATTTTGTGTGTCAGTCTTATTGCAACATTTTTAATTCAACATTCTTAATTCTTCCTATATTGAAATGTGTCCGTAACACAATAAAATATGTGTAAAATTAACCATTTTTATAATTTTTAAGTATATAAAATTTGAGTTTGTGTTAATGTAACCTCTTTATCTGAAAATGATAAAATGTATAGTTCAAAATACATGTTATTTCTAAATTACTATTCTGCTTCATTTTTATATAGATATTTAAGTGACCCAATTAATAATTACTTGCATTAAGAATAAAGAAAGCTATCAATTTGAATGCTCTTCACTTTACTGTTAATTTTTAAGTACTTCAGAAGTCAATGCCCCAACTGGACTTAATACTATAAAATGATTTCTAAAATGGTTTGCTGTTAACTCTAGTGAATGAAGAACATACAAAGCATATATAAGTAAGGTCTATTCAGCCTTTCTTTTAAAAAAAAATGTTAAGAATACAAGCTTTGAGGGGGCTGGAGAGATGGCTCAGTAGTTAAGAGCATTGCCTGCTCTTCCAAAGGTCCTGAGTTCAGTTCCCAGCAACCACATGGTGGCTCACAACCATCTGTAAAGAGGTCTGGCGCCCTCTTCTGGCCTTCAAGCATACAGACAGAATATTGTATACATAATAAATAAATAAATTATACATAATAAATAAATATTTAAAAAAAAAGAATACAAGCTTTGAGTTAGCTATCAAGTTTAGGCAGGCAAACATTAGTTCATTTAGGCCCAGAAAACTAATTTTTTGTTTCCCCATTTGATTTCATAAGTTTTTTGAAAGTGTTAGGAAGACAGTATTATTGGAAATGATTATTTGATTATATCTGCTCCTATTCATGATACTGGTTTCCCCATGATTAATTAAAACTGATTATGTAAGACATGTAACATAATACCCTTAATGTTAATTTATGTCGTTGGGGAAGAAAGACCCCTGTTTAAAGGATTAGAACGGTGTTTGGCTTTTTAAGTAGAAATAAATGTCCTGTAGTGATTCTCTTTAGATCCATTTGCAACATTTAAACTACTGTATTTCTTTCTGCATTGTTTCTAGTTTATTAACCTTGCAAGAACTCTTCAGGCACATATGGAAGATCTCGAAAGTAGGTGGAATTTCCCCTCCCCAGATTTGTTGAATTTACTTTTGCAAATTAAACCCACAGAACAAAACCTTAATGTACTCTTTTTTACCAAATTGAGTTTTGGTTATAGGCCTAATACTACCACAGTTAACTTATTTGAATACTATGGGTTGGAAAATAGGCTCTAGTTTTTTGAACGTATTTTTTTAAGTTATGTTTAATATGTGAAAGGAGGTAATTTTAATCATTAATTTTCAGTAAACCACTTTGATTTTACTATATGTGATTAAAAGGAAAACATAAAATTAAGTCCTATCTGTTAAGGGTTTTTATTTTTAATATATGAAAAAAATTACTTTTTAATTAAATTCCAGATCATAGAAGGAATTCTTTAGGTTTGTGTTTGGTTCCAGGAAAATAAGGAAAAGAGGCTTGAGCCCATAACAAAATGGTTTTGCTTGTTCTTTGTTTACTTATAGGTATTTCTTTGTGGACCTTTAATTTCAGGCAGCTCAAATTTCTTAGGGTCATTTTGTCATTCTCGTTAGGTGAAGACACCTAATCCCAAATCTTACAGGCATTTCCACAACCTGCTGTCTATCTTCTAATGTATTATAGCACGTTTGTGGTGCTTCATGCCAGGCGAGGGCAAAATTGGCTTTAGAACTACTTGTGGGGAAAATTAAACCCATCCGATCCCTGCCTGTTTGCTTTTCACCCTCAGCAATAGGTTTCCCTCCCAGTGCGGTCTCCGTTGTTTGAAATGTGTGTTTTCATGTTGAAAGGCACTTCCACCTTTAGAATACCTCTTATCTAGAAGAAAGCCTGGCATCCTTTGAAGATAATGTGAGAAGGATCTGTCCTCATAAAAACCTTTTACTTCTTTAAATATTCTAAGATCTAGCCTTTATAAGTTTTTATGCCTGTACTAATTTTAGGTTTTAACAGGATTTAAGAGAAAATCAGACAGCACATTCTTAGGTATTTTTATTAGCATACGTGAAAGTAAAGGAGCTAGTTGGAATTACTGCTTACTGTGAATTTTTTCTTTATAATATTAATAAAAAATAGCTCATTGACTAATACAAAAGTTCAGCTTTTTTCTGAAAATTTTAATTTCTGTTTTGGTAGGCTACTGTTGTGGTCATTTGTTTCAGTGTTTTTTCCCCAAGCTTTCTCACTTTGAAAAAAGTATTTTCATTTAAAACATAATTTCCTAAGCATAACATGGTCTTTTTTCTGTATGCAAGAGAGAAGAAAAAGCTAGAAGTAAAATATAGACAACTTTAGCTGACAGTGGAAGATGGTGCGGCCTCAAATGAATCTCAAATGACTGGAGTATTGCTACATTCTGAAAACTAGCCAAGTTGTATCTTCCTGTGGAATCAGTCACTAGAAACATGATACTCCCTAAACACAATGAAGCAGTGTGATATGTAAACATAGAGCATCACAACAGGGTTTATGTCAGTCATGAGCTGGATAGCACTTATTTTAAGTAGATTTTATCCATAAATGTTAACATTTTTCCAGCTCTTAGTTTGGGTTGATCTAGTGTCCTAGAGAGCATTCATTAAGCTTTTTTGCTCTTGATAATAGTAAAGAGATTAGTTGATGTTTATCTTAAAGAACTTATAAATCAGATTACGTATTGCATAGCTTCTTCTTGCCTTGGCTATCCCAAAGACATTCCAGGATGTTTTATATTAAATAATGGCCATTGAGTAAATTGAGGTAGGAGATATTATAAAAACAATGTTTCTGAGAATTTGGAGACATGGGGATAATCTCAGCAGCAGGTTTTTTGTTGTTACTGGTTTTGGTTTGTTTTTTCTGAAGCCAATTATTTTAAGTTAGGCTGTGTCTATATAAAGCTTTACTTATTCAATAGAGCTTTTTTTTGGCATTGTATAGACATAGCTGTGATGTAAATTGCAAGAACATCCATAACCTATTATTCTATGTACATTTTTTTTCATTCTCATCGGATGCATCAAACATGCAGCGGTAATAAGCCAGATTCTACTCAGGTGTGTGAGAGCACTTGCCTTAAATTCACTTTTCCTCTGGTGTATGTTTATATACATATCATTAGCTACTGTGAACACAAGCTGGTCTCAGAAACATTTTTGAAAAATGCTCTTAAACCACATTTTTAAGCATTTTCATTATATGGAAATTATCTAGCATCACAGTAAAGATGTGGGGGTGGGAACATTGTGAATGGGCATCACCCACAACAAGCCACCCTAACACTATCATGATAACTTACCATTTTGATCAAACAGTATACTAAATTGGGATTTTTGTTTTTACAAGTCATTGCTGTTCTGGCTTCATGTTTACAAGTCACATTCTTGTCACCCTTAAAATCATTCTTGATAATCCTGTTTTCTCTCAACAGCTTCAGAGGATGAGTCTGAAGAAGATGGAGACCATACCAGAACATTTGATATTGCCTAACTTCATTTAAGACAAATGGATGCTCCTTAAACATGTTTATTAATAGTGGCAATTAAGTATGAATAATTTTGTGGGGGAATGTCTATTAGAAATATTGACTATATATAAAATGAATATATATACATACATGTATAAATGTAAATATATATTCATTCTCAAGTGTTGCTGAATTGAAATTCTTCAGCTGGACTTTTTAACATTGGCCAGCAAATCTCATGTTTATAATATGTAATCAGAAGCATTGTTTTCTTTTAGGTGAATGGTAAAGCATCTCCCTTCCTTTTAATATCTAAGCAATGCTCATCAACTTTTTCTCTGTGTTACAATTACTGTAGTCATATTTATGGGGGAAAATGTTTGTGTATTAGTCTCTTGCTAGTGAGAAAACTCAGATAAAATGTACTTTTGAAATAAAATGCCAATGGCACCTAATTAGTTTTCCTTTTTAAATGCCTTAAGTTACAGCCACATTTTGATAATCATTTTCTTCCAGTGTTTAATTTTTTTTAAAGAACAGGAAGTTTGAAGAGCATAATTATATTAGGTTTCCAAATTTAATTTGAATTCTAAATTCACTTAGCAATAAAATCTAATTTTTAAGAAAAAAGTATGTAAAAGATATAGAAATGATGGATAACTTTTATATTGATTTGCAAAAATGCAGATTATATTTGATAGGCCATGGTATGTAGGTATTCCTTTCAGGAATATTACAGCTGTAAATTATATCAGAATTGCCAGTCAAATGATATTTGGTTAAAAATTAATGAAAATCTCAAGTTAACAGAATATTTTTTTAAAGCCCACATTCAAAGTTTAAAACACTGGTTTTCACTGTGTTTGTAGTGTTGTCACCTCTTTATAGAGGAATAGAATATATAGAACCTGTTTGGGTCCTTGGTAATTCTGAGCATTTCTTTGATGATTGTTAATATTTTTCACGACCTTTGCAAAAACAGATGAATTACTTATTCAACATGAATGAGTTTGCACTGTGGTCATGGTCATATAAACTTCCATAACAGTTTCCACTGTCAGCACCCTTAGGATACACATTTATACTTTCTGGTGGTTTCAGATTAGTCCAGTGTTGTGGCGACAACTTTTTCAACATCTAAATAGAAACCATGTAATTTCTCAAATGTGAATGAGCAGTTTGTCTACGCTTAGTTTGTTGGTATTAATGTAAAACCTTGGCTTGAAATAAAGTGATACTGATTGATTTAGTTTGAACTTTTTCCTTTTAAACTGGTCTCCAATGAGAAATTTCAACTGTTTCATGCAATGACTTTAAACTAGTTCCTCAGCTTTTTTATTTTATGTGTGTGAGTGTTTTGCCTGCACATATGACTGCTGCATGTCCATGCATTATCTCCAGAAGTCAGAGTAGGTTTTGGATCTCCTAGAACTGTAATTAGAGACGGTTGTGGGCTGCCACGAAAGTGCTGATAATGGGAGTCAAGTCCTCTGCAAAAAGAGCACATAGTCTTAGCCCTGACCCATCTCTGCAGCCCCTGAACACACTCTAAACTTAAAAAATATATTTATTTATTTATTTATTTATTATGTATGCAATATTCTGTCCGTCTGTATGGCTGCAGGCCAGAAGAGGGCACCAGACCCTATTACAGATTGTTGTGAGCCACCATGTGGTTGCTGGGAATTGAACTCAGGACCTTTGAAAGAGTAGACAATGCTCTTAACTTTTGAGCCATCTCTCCAGTCCCCTCTAAACTTTTCTTATCAATATATTGTCTTAAGTAAAAAACACTTTTTGTTTGTTTTGAGACAGGGTTCTCATATGATAATAACAAGCCATGTGTGATTTGAACACTTAAAATGCAGCTAATATAATTGAGTGGATGATTTTAAACTGCATTTAATTTTAACTTAAATAGCCACATACATATATAGTAGCTAAGTGGATATTCTTAGGCTATCATCAGCTTACAGGAGGTAATAGGATTGATACCAGTCCTTAAAAGAATAGTAAGAAATGGAGGGGAGGGCTGGAGAGATGGCTCAGAGGTTAAGAGCATTGCCTGCTCTTCCAAAGGTCCTGAGTTCAATTCCCAGCAACCACATGGTGGCTCACAACCATCTGTAATGGGGTCTGGTGCCCTCTTCTGGCCTGCAGCATACACACAGACAGAATATTGTATACATAATAAATAAATATTTAAAAAAAAAAGAAAAAAGGAGGGGACAACGACCAGCTAATATTCCCTGTTAGCACTCTGAATAGCTGACAATACGGTTGATCCTTTACAGAATGCTACAGCTAGTGTGATCTGCTATAACACTTGCTGCTTTAGTCACATGACTCTTGGTAAGTTATCACCAGTTTGTGGTTAGGAGTGCCATTAGTACTATCTCTGAAGTAATAAAACTTCTAAAGGAAATCAGAATTACTTGAGCTTTCTTCTATTTTTATACTGATGATGCCTCTTTATTTTATTTTATTTTGGTTTTTCGAGTCAGGGTTTCTCTGTGACTTTGGAGCCTGTCCTGGAACTAGCTCTGTAGACCACGCTGGTCTTGAACTCACAGAGATCGGCCTGCCTCTGCCTCCCGAGTGCTGGGATTAAAGGATGCGCCACCATTGCCCGGCCGATGATGACTCTTTAAAAACTATGTTAGGGATACCAAAAACTGAATATTATCTCTTGGGTTGTACTTGTTTTCCCTCAGATCTGGCGTGCATGGTTTTCGTGTCATCAAAATATGTAATTTCCTCATAGTGTTGGAGAAGGATCTACCCTGATCTACCCTGTGTAGTGAAAGATAGGGTGGTCTAGGAAATCTTTGCTCAAGAGACATAGAGGTTAAACCAGCTGGCTACCATCTCCATGACCTCTTAGCTAGAGCTGTATTTTCTTTGGAAGAATCTGTAACATAATTATTTGATTATAATTAAATACTGCTTGTCCCAAATGTTCTATAAAAACAATAAACAAGTGTGGAGTATCAGAATCTGTAAAATGTCTTCCTCTTTAAGAGAAACAAAGGAGTTGATTGTCACCATTGTCACCATAGCCAGTGAGACCACTATTAAAGGGCAGGCTTTGTACAGCTTCTTCCTGGTGCTATCAGTAAGTAGAGTCGTTGCAGGATAAAATGGAACTTAATGGACAGAGTAATAAGAGCCAGCATTTTAGCAGCTTTATTGTACACAGAGGTTTCATTTACTCAAATGAAAATTACCTAAGAAAACTTTGAAGTTAGATCTATAGTTTCTTTTCTAAAACCTGCTTTTTAAGAAAAAATGAACCAAAACATTACTATTTTGTTACAGCGAGTACATGAAAATATTACGAAAATAAAGGGAAAAAAAGCTTCAGTTTTCTGTGGTAACTTTTATATCAAAGCCTTGCACAGGACATCATTAAGGGTATTTGATACGATGGTTTGATAATATTGAAGTCTCAGTCCAGCTGGACAGCACAGTCATCATCTGCAATTACCAAAGCGCAGTCGTCATTGTAAGGTGATTGCAGTGTGGTTGAGAAGACACTGAAGCCAGAGCAAGCATTCCTTTTATAGAGGAACCAAATAATTGCTCCCAAAACTGTCAGAGTTACCGTGCCAGCAATCACCAGAGTTGATATTAAAATGTGGTTATCTAGAAGGGAAAAAAGAAAGATTACAGGCAGTCAGAATACAAGTTGGAAATATTTCATTTGGAGCAGTCATTTCATCCTATGTATTTACATGTACAATTTCCCAACTGATTAGAAAAAAGTTACACGTTCTTTACTAGAGATTGGTCCTTCTAGGTAGGCAGAATGGTTCAGTGGGTAAGACTGATAACCTGAATTTGTTCCCTAGGCCCACAAGGTGGAGGGGCGCCAACTGACCTCCATGTGCATGTCATGGTCCGCACTTGTGTATACACAATAAAAGTGAGACCGTTTTAAATAATTTGAATTAAAGCATTATAGTTTTATGCTCTACTGAGTATCATTGTCTATGACTTAAGTCTCTTTTTCCCTTCAAAATTTTGGAATTCACACATACTGTTCTCTTGAGGATCTAGTGGGGCCTGATGGTCTATCTGCCTTTGATATTTATAATTTGCCTCACAGAAATAACACTAAAAGCTACAGTATCCGCATTTTTGTTTCTCTTCATATAATACTGTGTGTGTGGATCCCCTGGTTTACAGATGTGTGCGGCCTTTCAGTTGTTGCCTAGTCAAAACTTGATCTTTCTCTAAGAATGCAGTTTAACATTTAGTAACTGGGATGGCAGATGCGTTATACATAATGAAGGATTACAAATTACAACTTCATTGCAGATGGATTTTTACTTAAATATGCTAAATATTTTAACTAGTGCTTCTTAAAGTGTGACCTAAAAGATTAGAGATGAGTTTGCTAGCTCTGGCCAAATGTCTTAAGGTCAGGAAATCATAAAAACATTAAGGTTATTCTCAGAGAGTTTGAGGTCAACTTGTGCCTCAAAAAAAGCCAAGACATGAATTGTTAATTCAAATGATAATTTTTATAGTTACCTTAAATGTTACAGTCTTAAAATGTTTGACTTTTGACTCTACCCACATGAACACATTGAGTGTTGATGTACAATAACATAGGAATATATATTTTAGTGATAACATACAGAAATGTAGCAAAACATTTTAGGCTGAAAGAACAGCATGATAATCTAGGGTTGTGTAGAGATACATATTTACAGATTCAAAAGACCTTTTGATTTACTTGTGGGACAGCAGCCAAGATTGATGGGACACAGTATGTGTGTATTCACATGTTATTCAAGTAGCCTGTGAGTGAGTTGCAAGACTTTCTGTTGACTAGGTAAAATGTGCCGTCTTCTTACCAAAGTTACAGTGTCATTGAGGCCAAAGCCACAGTCCATCATTTAAAACTGCTAAATTTCAAGTTATTATCAACTGCACAATTTATTCTGGGCATGATTCAAACAAGTTTCCTAAATCCATTAAATAGGCAATAGCAAAAGCTCCAAGCATTTGGTTGTACACACTAGGATAGCCTTTGTCTCCTCTGTAATATACTTTAATTTTTTGTGATCAGCTAACCTGATTCTTCTATAGTATACTTTCATGCATCCTCGGGTAGACTAACTTCCATGTGCTTACCACACCTAGAAGTGCCTGGCATCAGGAAAATGAAAAATCAGTAAGTTATACACCTACATGAATGACCAAAATCAGAAATGGGCACTATTATCATGTAAGTATAAAGCACATCAAGCTCCCAGTGCCTCACTAGTGGCAGTGCGACCCAGTTTTACCACTGAACCGGTACATGGTTTCTAACAGAACTATTGTGTTACAAGGTATTTTGGAGGATATATTTAAGAATGTTGGTCAAGAAAAGAGAATGTAGGTTGCTCTATTCCTGTTCATTTCAAAGTAGAAATTAAACCATTAGGAAGCAAGAGTAAAATGTTTTAATACAGCTAAGCAGTAGGAAAAAATAAGTATATGCAAAGTTTCAGAGTGGAAGAAGCCAGAGTAATATATAAAGTAACTGAGGAGGAAAGGAAAGTGGACCAATGTGAGTTCATGGCCAGCTTGATTATACTGAGTTCCAGGCTGTCTCATCAAAACAAAAAGCAACAGCAACAAATCCACATACTGTAGACCACAGTGAAATTCATGAAGAACTCTTCTGTTAGGCACTGGGATGGAGAGGAAGTGTTTAGTGAAATTAGCCAGACAATATTGTATTGATGGGGGTTATGGAAGAGTGACTAATAGGAGTGCCTGGAGTACTTGTAATCAACGAGCAATATGCAGGTATAGAAATGATGCAACAGCTGTCCAGCTGATGTGTTAATAGAGCCCAGTGGTTGGGTTGTGACGTAGGCCTTTAAACGGAAGGGTGAGAACATGGGTGGTGGTGATGTTAACTATCGTGACTTGACAGTTCTACTGGTGGATACATAAACATAAGAGTGCACATTGCCCTATTATACCCAATGATGTACAGGTTAAAAGTTACTAATTGATGAAAATCTGAAACTTTTACCATGGATACTTATTGCTACTGGGAATACAAAATAGTACAACTCCATACCAAGACCAATACTGATCAGTTATAGATTTCATTTTCAGCTTTGCAGTCTCTAGATAAACATACACTTGTGCTAGGTGATGTGTTTATTGAACCACTGTTCATAATAGTAAATATATGGAAAGGATCAAATGCAAGTTGCACACTGGTTAGTGTTTATGTA